AGGAAATTATCGAAAAGAATATTCGCTTCTTTAATTTTCTGTCATATTCTAAGTGGTTTACAGTACGGAGGCTAAGACAGGCATTAAGATAATTAATCATAACCAGAAACCTGCACATAAGACCAGACAATACTCCCCAAAAAGCTCTGGAAACGAATCCAGACACCTTCGAGGATATCTTCACTTCCCTACTATAAAAGGTTTGCAGTAAGATGTACCTGTTAATTGCAAGAAAGGTTACCTTGTCAAAGTACAAAGGAAGGGTGACTGTGGTGATTGACAATTTCTATCTCTGTATTGTTTAAATACTTACTGTTGACTGTTGATATGTTTCTTATATGAATTGCATAAGAATTCCGCTAAATACAAATTCCTGAATTCCCCCTCTCTGTGTTTTGTTTGGATTCGTGTAATTCGGTCATCTCGAAATACTAATATTCCAAGTACAATAAATTACTACAAATTGGCGTCGCGATGGAACTAAAAAACCTGGGAAAATTCCCATTAATGGTCTCCGCGGGAGATTGCTGATTATTTGGAATGCTTCGATGCGTGGTGCATTTCAAAGAATGTTCGGGATGACAAAATACCAGCACATTTCATCACTGCTATTGGGCTTGATGCATATAGCCTAGTGAAGAATCTGGCGTTTCCAGATAAACCATTTCTCTGCCATATGCTAAGCTCCGTGAACTTCTTATAGATCACTTCCATATAACTACTTTTGAGACGCGAGAGAGGGCTCAGTTCAATAAACTGGTTCGTGCTCCCAACCAGAAGATTCGAGACTTTATTCTGCAACTCCAAATTCAAGCTTCAAAGTGTAACTTTGGAGATCAGCTGCATACTCAACTACGTGATCGTCTAATTGCTGGAATCAATATTCCTAAGTTAGAGAAAGAGTTAATTCAGATTCCTTCTTGTACTTTTCAAACTGCTAAAGATTTATGTATTACATATGAAGATGTCAATAATGAATACTCTGCTCCCACTACGTCAGTATCTGATGTTATGCTTTCTAAAGTCGAAAATACAAGTGGTCATGGAAAGCAATCCAAACTGCCGTCCACAGGTAATAGAATGCAGCGAGAGATCAAAAACATTAAACCGTGTTTATCCTGTGGAAAGTTACATCTACGAAGCACTTGCCGTTTTCGGGGTGCTAAGTGTCACAAATGTGGTAAAGTTGGACACATCAAGACTGTTTGCAGAAGTTCGAATACTTATGTTGCTCAACATTCTTATAATTCTCCCAAGCTGTCTAGTAAAATGGAGTCAATGTGTCTTTCAACTTTTCAAAATACTCAAGCTAATCCAATGAAAACCTCCACTACAAGTTCAGCAACTCAAGCGTCAACTGTTTTCAAAAATGAGGTAGCCGAGTTACAATGCGAACTGTCGAAAACACGAAAAAACTGAATGAGATGAGAGAGCAACTGATTAAAATGGAGGAATTGTTGCATATGCATAGACTGCGTCTGTTGAATGCAGAGCATACAAGTACCCGTGAAAGTCCTGCAAAACTTTTCAAATCTCGAATTCTCAAAAAGCATCTGATGTCCACGACTTCTAATGTACATTATTACAAAGGTAATAACTATAGACCTTCTGTTGGAATTATACTACAAAAAATGGGAAATCGAGTGGTGAAGATATTAGACATCAAAGATCACTCAGTTCATAACAGACACCTGGACAAAGTGACAATAAATGAAGTAGGTCGTTCCAATTATAATATTATTGATTCCGCTAATAATCCTGATTTTGTAGATAATTCAGAAATAAGTCCAGATAATACTGATGAAAATAATATCACAGAATCAGTTAGAAGGTCGCAGCTACTTGCAAGCAAACCGAGACATCGTTATAAATACGCAAGGAGATATTCGACGTGTGGCGGATGTGGTGATTGACAATTTCTATCTCTGTATTGTTTAAATACTTACTGTTGACTGTTGATATGTTTCTTATATGAATTGCATAAGAATTCCGCTAAATACAAATTCCTGAATTCCCCCTCTCTGTGTTTTGTTTGGATTCGTGTAATTCGGTCATCTCGAAATACTAATATTACGACTACAATAAATTACTACAGTGACTTTATATGATTATTGCTTGAAACGTCATCAGTGAATAATAATAATGTATAACACTGTGAGAATTTATCAAAATAAATTTTCTTCATAATGTTATGACAAATCAAGCCTTTGCAAAAACTAGAACGGGTCAAGCCCCTTTTCATCAGAAGTAAAATATCAGGCCTAATTAACCTAGAGAGAATAAAAGATGATTTAGATGATCCATCGACGAAAAGAGCATAGAATTCCAGTTAGTTGTTTGTCTAAACTTAATCAACTTTGAAAAAAACATTCAACAGTGTCGACCGCGAAGCAGTCTGGAAAATGCTTAAGCACTATGGAGTACTCCAAACCTTTATAAGCCTAAATAAACAGCTATATGACACCGCCAACCACCAAGTAGTTCATGAAGGAAAACTCAACGCTGTCTTTGAAGTGAAGACAATAGCAAGGCAAGACCACCTACTATCACCCACAATGATATTCCTAATTTTGGTGGACTGGATAATACAAAAAGTCATGGGCAGTGGAAAAATAAGCCGACAAGAAGACTCTATAAGATCTCAAATTCACAGACGAATTATGTCTAACGTCACACTACCTTGAAGATCTACAGAAAAAAAAACCAGTAAGCTGATAGAAGACGCAACTCTGAATACAGGGAGGATGAAGGTAATGAAGACACCCAGTGACCGACAACAAGAAGCAAAGGATAAATCTAAAGGAAGCCAAATCTTTTACTTATCCATGCAGCATCGTTTTAGTTACAGACGTCCTGGATGAAAATGTCAAAGGCAGAATTGAAACTGAAAGACAAATCATCATAAATCTGAAATAACAGTAAAAATTTACTGCAGTCAGCATAAGAAACATGAAGAAGACCATGTGACAAGGAAAGGAAAGCTTATGGAGAATTCATATAATAATCGAACTTTTCCGCTGTGTTGGAGTATAATTACATTGGTGGTAAAATTTATTTCGATAAAGTCTCACAGAGCGTTATATAGTAATATCTGCTGATTACCACGTTTCAAACACAGTTTATAAATAATAAATAATTTTTCCTTCACGTTCCCCAGTGGAACATAGGGCTTCAAGCTAGTGGCTTGAAGTTTCTGTAGCAGTGTTTAACTTTTACAGGATGGGGTTGCTAGCCTCATGCCCAACCTTTCCTCTTTACCAGCATTATTTCTGGTTTAGCGAGGTAAAGGAGTGCGTCCAGCGGCCGGGGATCGAACCGCGGACCATATGCATGGTCGGCGAGCGTCCTAACCGCTATACCACCGACGCACAACACATTTTGTAGTCTCTCATAATCATATCAAGTTACTCATACAACTTTTCAACTTTGTTTATATAGTTCCATCATTTCTCATTGCTTTATTCGACTGGTAATAATATCTTCCATATCTCTGGTATTTGCATTGATTCTTTTTTTATTGCACGTGTTGATTGTAGACTCGATGAAACAGCATTCAGTAACCAACCTCTCTCACTATCCACCTAATTATATTACTTTTAGAATTGTAACTCTATCCCTCCCATCCTATTTTGTGGTCATGTGTTAATGCATGCAGTCCGACTGCCGAGTTTTACTCTAAATTACTTACTTGTCGTCCAGGGATCAATCATTCTAACCTTAGCCAAATTCTTTTGTTCTGACACTCTGACTACTCTCCATCTACTGGTTTCACACATGTAATTGACTTTACTCACAGTCATGCAAAGTATTTTGTAAATTATATTATTTTGTTTAACTGGGCCAACCTACAGCGTTTTTTAAACTAAAGCGCTTATATACAATTGGTGGATGGTGGCTAGCAGTGGAATCCAGGATGCGCATTTCGTCCTATTTGGGACACGTCAGCTGGATGTACCTGCATTCCTCAGTGAGTGATGATGTTCCCACTGAGGCTCGAACCCAGTACCCATAGTTTCAAACGCCAAAGCGTTATCCACTAGACCGAGCACTTCGGTCCAATCAATCGACGGGAAAATCAAAAATTCAATTCAATAAAGCGCTTATAGGTTTAAATGCCCCACTGATTCCTGTTTTATTGAGAATCCTACGTAGGGAGGATCTCAGATGCCCCCTCTTTATATGGTATAACAAAGATGCCTTATCTTCTCTCTTATTCATGTTATCATTAGTTAGTTTCACCGTTATTTTTATTTTATTTTTTTTTTTTGACTTTTACTGATCTTTCTAATGTATTTTATAGGATAGTTAGTCATTTAACTCCAACCAGCCATTCTTCTGTCTGTTTCGTTTCATTGTTTAGGTTTTTTGTTGCATTATTTAGTGCTAACGCTCAGTTTTTTAGATATTTAACCATGCATGCCTTCACAGATAACGGATGAGATGCATTAAAGTCGTAATATCTATTAGCAGAATGCTCTGGCTTTCTAAAATCACCAGTGTTCAGTTAACCTCCTTCTGCTCGTTATATTTTACAATGTAACACCATAGCTAATCCTCCTTGTTCAATTTCTGATTCAAATGTAAATTTTATTCCCTTTACTAGAGATTCAGTCATGGAACAAGTTGAAGGTGACTACATGGGACAGAGTAAAATAGCAACGTTCCGCTTGACACCTCAGGAATCAACAATAATAACGTCTCTGACTGCAGCACTGGGTGGTGATGCGGCTTCAAATCTTAGAAGGGATATGAATTGCAGATACGCCTTGCTTACTGGTGAGTGTTAAGTAGCACGAAAGCTAGGTGGTCCAAGGCTTCATGTGGCCAACTGCCCCCAACCGTCTAATACCAACAGCTCACAAAGCACTGTGATAATGAGCCACCTAGAGTGGCACGGTGGCCACATTGCAAACTTGATTGATAGAATTCAGTCTGCACCAAAGATAGGAGGACTAGACTTATACACAATCCAATCAAAAATAATAATAAGCTACACATTAATCATAATAATAGTAATAATTTTTATTTGTTAAAATTGTATGTTTACACAATGATCACAATGATGATGGCAATAATCATAATAATAATAATGATAGCAGTCATTGTGTAATAAATTCAATAGACACCTCACTCAACTGTCTCATTATCCCCCTTTCTTCCGTCAGGTATTCTCTTTCTCAAAATATTTTCACAGCAATATCAGGTATCCTATCTTCTAATTCAGTTCTGAAATCAGTTAGTGTTGTCTCACTCTCCTCTGATATTTCCACATGGATCATATCAAATCTTTCCGGTGTATCAGGACGTATTAATAATGCATTGAACTGTGAAAAACAAATAAAATATATAACAGGTAGAAAGAGTGGATCAATTAGAGAACAGTTATAAGCAGTTAGTTAAATACTGCTAAATTTAAGCAACTTGAACGTTTCATTACGAAAATCGTGAAACTTAAACCTCTAAATGATCCCACACATTCTGCTCCGCCCAAAATGCTTCTCTACTTTGGAGACTCATCATTAGAGCTCATTTTCAAGTTCTAGTTTTCGTCAAATTCGATTGGTTCCAAGTTTGATCATGAAACGACAAATGGAAACCATAGAGCACTGAACAGTTGGTTCGTCCATGTCTCGACCTCCTCATCAGTTGCTACCTATGACTCCCTACCCTATGAAATTCAACGAAATCAACACCTAAAACACAATATACAGCATAGATTGCATGAAGCGAAAATTCTTCTCTTCAAGTTGTTCTTTGAGGCACATCTTTCACTGTATTAAGGGAACTTGATTTTGTCAACACTGTCTATGTTCTTCGCTAGACTTAAAAATTTTTGGGTTAGAATTTTCGGTATCAGATTTAGTAGGTCATCATTCTTGGTGCGTACAATTTAATCTCAACAGTTAGAGTATTCATAATTTTTTAACTCATGGAAAATTCTCATTGTAACATTTAGAAAATCAAAACAAGTGATTCACTGGATATAACTTCTTAAAAACCAGATATATACGATTGTACAACTTGATGATAAATTCGCTGAAAAGTGTCTCTTCACTGAATCACTTGTTTTGATTTTCTATATTCATAATTTTTATCAGGAATTGTATGACAATAAACACCAGTAGTGTGGTGAGAGCAGGCTGCTAGCCGATTGGTTGACACTTAGCTACGTTAATATGGGCCGTGAGAAAATATGAACAAGGCTGATTCAACAACCAATCACAGCAAAGTTAACGTGGCAAAATATGATTCGCAGATAGAGAACTCTATTTGTCGAGGAATCCCGAAACAACCAATCAGAAGCCTGCGTTTGTCTGCCTAACATCTGATAAACAACCAATCAGATGACTGCGCTTGTCTATAATAATGTATGTGAAATATGTATAAATACGTGTTGATTTTCATAATAAAAGGATCTGTTGCTTCGCCCTTGTCTTCTGTTGTTACAGTAGTAACAGGTGTCTAATGTTATCCAAACTCGAGGACCTACAGTTGAAAACCAACAAAATGGCTAAAGAAGCAGTACAGAAAAGCCAGTACTGACTCCGTGTGAACATAGAGACAACGAAAGTGATGAGGATTACCTACCTACCAACCAACCAACCAATAGCAGTAACAACAACCAGCACTGATCACTATCAACCAGAGAAATTTTGAAGGGGTTAATAACTTCATTAGTGAGTCGATGGCACAGTGGTTAGGACGCTCACCGACCATGCACATGATCCGGGGTTCAATCCTCGGCCACTGGACGCACTCCTCCTTTACCTCGCTAAACCAGAAATAATGCTGGTAAAGAGGAAAGGTTGGGCATGAGGCTAGCAACCCCATCCTGTAAAAGTTAAACACTGCTACAGAAACTTCAAGCCACTAGCTTGAAGCCTTATGTTCCACTGGGGAACGTGAAGGAAAAAATATTACTTCATTTATCTGGCTAGAGGGCATAGTTTCAACCATTGATATCTGAACAGTACGGATAAAGATGTCAGAGTCAGACAGAATCGGAAAGGCAACGTATGCCCTCATCAATCTGAAACCAGTCTTAAAATCTTCCTAATTTAGCATAAGAATAAGACTGGGATTTTCAACACAAATGTGAACTCAGTCCTTCTATACGGATCATAAAATTGGACTACTTATCGTGAAGTGCATTTCCAACAAGCCATTGTTGAATTCTATCAACAGCTGGCTCCATACTGAAGATCAGATGGCTGGCCAGTCAGACAGAGTTAGCAACAAGAAACTCTGGTAATGAAGGAATCAACAAATCAAGAACCAGTCGCGCGACAAATATATTGAGGAAAACAGAGATTGACTGGGTAAACGACAATGATGGGGGCATCGAATGACATGGGAAGCGATGAGTGGGTCATCAATGCGAGGGTGACATGGAGGAGATTGTGTGTTGGGGAAGAAGAGATGAAACATTATTGGCAATCATTGACCCCTCCCCCTAACTGAAGAGGACTGCAGAAAATAGAAGAAAGTGTAGTTGTATTGTTGAAGCCCTATGTTCCACACGAAATCCAAGGGAATAATATTAATATAATAATAATAATAATAATGATAATCAGGAGTTAGAATTCAGTTTAAATTCTGTGAAAATCAAAATGGCCACTAATTTCATTGTTCACTTCATTGGTCAGCAATACCCAGAATCATTTGGACTTATCATCATTAGAAGGTTCACCAACAGTCTAACTGAGAAGTTCTATGTATTCAGAAGTTGGTATTTTTTTTTGACTTAATAAAGTCGTTTTTATTAGTGTAGACTGACAATGTTGTTGTAATTTTTTAAAACACCCTTAAGGTCACCTTCAGTCTTGAACATTGATGATGCAAACGTTACTCTAACGTCTAAAAATAGAAATGTTACTCAGTCTATAAGGTTATTAGTTTCAATGAAAATATGCACATGATTTATACTCTATTTAGGTATCTCATGTGAGTTTCTAATCCACTTATGAGTATTGACAATGTAAACAAATACAAAAATAGAAGTGGTTACATTTTTAATTAGTAATTTACTAAAATACTTTAACACTGGATACATTTGAGAGATGTAAGGGGTGCAGAACTCCACTTATCTCACATATTAATAATAATAACAGCTTTATTCCAAACGGCATTTGTGGTACAGGTATGGAATTTCCAGCGTGCATTACAATATATTGTATCTAATTACCTCATAAATTTTATAAGATTTTTAAAATCAAACAAAAATAAATAAAAAATTTTAGAAAAACCAACGCCAAAAATATAAAAGATAAATAAAAATAAAAAAACAGCGTAGAGTTTACATTTCAAACAATGCATCACAGGATATGAAATATAAAGTTGATGTGTGATAGAAGATGAGAACAACAGTGTAATAGTAACGAGGAAAGGAAAACAAAAACTAATGGAACTATTTGTTAGAGTTCCGCAGTAAGTTGATCGTGGCATACCTAACGGATTTCTCATCACATTACAGCTGTACATTGATTTGATGGTATTAGATGGTCGGAGGCAATCGGCCACAGGAAGCCTTGGACACCACCTAGGTTTCGTGCTAGTTGGCACTCATCAGCAAGGCGTATCTGCAACTCCCTTGAAGAAACTCATGTCCCTTCTGAGATTCTAACCCGCGTCACCCAGTGCTGCAGTCAGAGACGTTACCACTGAGCTATTCGGGCCCGCGATTGACCTCCTGTAGGATAGCTCAGTGGTAACGTCTCTGACTGCAGCACTGGGTGACGCGGGTTCGAATCTCAGAAGGGACATGAGTTCCTTCAAGGTTGCAGATACGCCTTGCTGATGAGTGGCGACTAGCACGAAACCTAGGTGGTGTCCAAGGCTTCCTGTGGCCGATTGCCTCCAACCATCTAATACCATCAAATCAATGTTTACCGTGATGGCGAGCTAGCTAGGATGGTGGTCACATTACAACCTGACTGATAGAATTCAGTCTACACCAATCAGAGGACTAGACGCATCACACTAGTTACTAGTGTCGAACATAACAGCTGTGCCAGATATGGTATTGTGGAGTCTTTGTATTTGGTAGACCTGGCATATAGCCTCCTATAGCTGCTTCTATTTCTACCAGATGAAATGTAAGGGGAGAGCTGCGTATAGAGAGGATGCTCGGGGTCCGACAATATTGTATTCGCTAGTTTCTTACATGACATAATATGTCTATCCACAATAGTGTTAACCAGTTGGTTTAACGATATTATTATACATCAGTTATTTAACTTATAGAAATATTTATTGGGTCAGTTTGTCTGGTGTGTCATTCCAAAAAGTACAACAGTTCTTGTTTTCTTCGCTAAATGATAAGAAGCTGTCAATTTGTAGTTTATATCTTACTACTCTTGTAAATCCTCAACGAGTCGAAGAAAGGAAAAGGCATTCAGTAAAGAGCTACTATTGATTGACGTGCGTAATATATCTGATGGAGTTGAGAAGAGTTCAAATAAAACTGGACGAGAGAGAGTCAAGTCAACAATAGTGGTAATAAGGGGTAGAGATTCAACAACCAAGGGAGAGGAAGAGACTCATCGGCAGTGTAACTTCATATTCCACTCACTCAAGAAATCCCTTTTCGCGGATCAACTTCGAATCGGAGGGATAGAGTATCACTGCTAGCCGCCTTATCAGTGTGCATCTACCAGCTAACCTGCCACAACTGCGGAACTAGGCATGCCGGTGGTGCCTAGACCCAGCAATTGCTATGCAAACGGATCGCTAGGTACTTACCTACATTCATGGATTTGTAAAGGAGAAAATAGATTCTCGTCACAACAGCTCTATCCTGGAACACCTGATCAGTTGAATCTCGACACCAAGCTAACCCACAAACCAACTTCAAAAGCTGTTACCAAAGAATACATGGGAGTCTAGCTACAACAGTACTAATCAAACTTCTTAAAGCAGAGCAGAAGTAGCAATAGTGGCAATTCATACGTTAAATTTTGAACTCTGCATACAAAAGAGGAAATTTGTTCAGTGACTAAATTTACGATTGATGTGATCTTTGCTAACATTGGATATGTAATTTCTGTTATCCTTCACCCCTACCGTCTAGTGAATCTCTACCCTTTATTATCACTCTTGTTAATTTGACCCTTCCTCGTCTGGCCAACACCAACAGCAACAACAACAGACGATAGTCAGCATAAATGGGAGGAACCCGAAAGAAACAACCTCCTTTACCTACCTGGGAAGCATCGCTTCAACTACAGGAGGAACTGACGAGGATATCAAAGCAAGAATCGGAAAAGCAAGGCAAGCTTTCATTACTCTTAAGTCTGTGTGGAGGTCAACAGCAACTCAGCATCAA